CAAATTTCGCGGAGAATACTTCGAAAAGCAATAAATACATTTTTAAATAGTAATGTTGTGTTACTTCCTTGATTCCCGAAATTTTCAATGTCATCCGAGTCGAATTACAGTCACGGTCTGACTCAACGGCGACTAAAAGAAAAATAATTATAAAAGAAATTATAGTGCACTTTTTTGTAGCACTCCCTATTTTCTTAAACCTATATATAGTGTGATAGGACAGAAAATCTCGATGAACACGGTACCACATGATTAGCTGTCGCAATTACAACCACTAGACCAACGGAGAAGCCAGTGGCATTAAACCAAGCCTGTCTTACTCCGCAATTTAGGCATGAAATTATACCTACGATGCAAGGCCGCCTACAGGAGGCAAATTTAGTGAGGTTGTCAATCGCGCGTTTGAGCTGATGCGCGCCTTATGTTATCAAAAAGTACTACATAGCACACGGATGCTTAAATAACAATAGGAATGTTGACATTCTTTACTGCTCCAAAGGATATGGAAGGATAAGATTCAATTATAGGTAAATTTAGATATTTAGGTACCCAGATACTGACGCCATAGTTACAGATTTATTATTTGGTTAGCGACCTGGCCACAGCTTCGCAGTTTTCGATTTTTTCGCGTACAATGTCAATAACCCCAAAAAAGCAGTCAGTGCAAGTTAACTTGTCAGTGCTAGTGCTAGCTACTTTCATTAATAATGCCGTCGAGGGTCACATGTTTGTAAATAACAAAAATGTTAAACAAAACGTGATAAGTAGGTAAATTATGTGAGTTTCGGGTTTTGACGTATCTGACGTTCACGCTGTTATAATCTTAATTTTTCTCGATGTTGCATATTAACATTAATCTATTCCACTACCAACTAATATCAAAGGATTCAATTTATTTTCTCGCAACACTTAACGCTACAGTAGAAGCGGCTTTAACAAAGGCACTAACGGGCTAAGTGATAGACACTCGCACGCGGACGTAAAGTGCATTTTGACTTAATACGCGCGCTGGATTAATTTTTATAACGCAGCACGCGGCGGGCTAATATCACGAAGGTCGCTTCTTAGGCGTGCAAAATATTATGAACATTAGGGACGTAGTGACTAGGTTTAAGCAAGTTTGCTGTCAGATAGTAATCCTTCTGTTCTTGTACTATTATTTATTCTGTGATTAATCTCAATGTTCAGTTGATGAGGTTTTGATAAGCGATCCTCCACAATTTTTAAATTATTATTTTGTAAATGCATATATACTTAAAACATGTAACCACTTTTAAACTCTTTGAACCTCTCAACTCAAACTCGCAAACTCTTGAAATTTGTATCCATTTCATTCATATACTTCCCGTAGTATACTTCCCGGGTATACTTCCCGTGATAATGTCGTTAAGGTTTTTTTCAAGTCACAAATCAACAATGTTTTCTTTGTAGGATTTGGTCCGTACAGCTATATTATGACAAGTTTGGCTGGTTTCAATATAATTTCGTACGCGTGTATTGTTTTCGCGATCTCCATCATTATCCCTGCAAGCGCATGTGAACTGAAGACCACCAACGCTCAACAAGGATATATAGCAGCGGGACATTTAGTCGGTGCGTGTGTTATAACATTTGTAAACTAAATAAGACACTGTGATCAGGAACTGGGCAATCAAATCACCTTGTCAGCTCCATCCCCGATGGCTTACCACTGCAACGATGATATAATGAGACGTGCAGGGAGTCGTTGCACACAGCTGGCTTAGGACGGTGATTTGTTGCATCTGTCTGAGCGACCTTTGTTGAGGGCTGTCTTTATAGAGATCTGTATGCATTCAGCTGTGGACTACTTATGAGCCGGAAGGATGTTTGAAAAGAATTTAAATCTAACCGAGTAGTGGCCGTGTAATAATATCCACTATCCCATATCATCTTGTGGTGTCGTAAGAGGCGACAGTGAGAAACAAACTGGGAAATAGACAGCATAATCTTCCTGATGACAGATGAATACAGATTAAAAACTGAGGTTTCCAACCCGCTTATAAGGTGTGGCAACTATGGTAAATATGCCCCTGTGAGGCAATCTATGGAGGAAGTTTATGTTCATCAGTGAACCTTTGATCGACTGTAATGTTACCTAATAATATTTAAATTATATATTTTATGTAAAGTGAATAATAAAATTATTTTACAATAATACACTTAAAGCACGGTAATCAAATTACAAAATAACTGCACAGGATCTTTGAATATAATGTCAATTTAAAATTAATAACTTACTTTTTACGAGTAATGCAATCAACATAAGTTTGTGCACTAACTCGTGCTGATAATAAATGGTATTAGAAATGGCGTCTCATCGAGATTGTACTGTCAGCATACACGGTAACAAAAACGAAAATAATGCTAATAACGTTATATCGTTATATTACAAATAACGATGTTATATTTTTTGTTACTTTTTATAAGCCAGTGCTTGACCACAATCCCACCTAGTGGTAAGTGGTGATGCAGCCCTAGATGTTAAATCGCACTGTCTTAGCGTAACAAATGCCTATTCACGCTTGCCTTGCAGACGCCCACATTGTATTCGGACGGAAAGATAGAGGCCGGCAAATTATTCCACTCTTTTGCTGTACGCATTAAAAAAGTTGAAGTAAACCGTTTGGTTCTAATGCGTGGAATATCGACAACAAAGGGGTGAAGACCCGCCGACCGCCCAATCGTCCAATGGTGGAAAGGAGAGAGTGGAATTAAAGCGTGCAATTCCTGCGCACACTCTCCGAAATACATACTACAGAATACCGAGAGGCTGGCTACTCTGCGCCTACGCTTAAGGCTGACAAAGGCTGGTTGGTTTTAACAAAATCAAGGTCACCAATGAACCTCTTAGCACGTCTCTGCAATCACAACAACAACAACAAAACAGCTCATAGTTGAGGTTCGGAGAAAATTCAACCCCTAACAACTGAAGGCGGTTAGTGTACTCCAAGGCTCCAAGCCTGCTCACCTTGGCTCTATGAATACCCAAAATCCCTGTGTCTATGACTACCAAGAACGTAGAGAAAGTGGGGTCTTCAAGATGACGGAGACGCTCACAGCAGAAGTCGTTGCGGACCTAAACTCAGACTCCGGGGCGCTGATGCAAATTATGCTCTAATGTCTACCCAGGGATAAGGACATCTGATCTGCGTCTCAGTCAAGAAGAGTAAGTGCGGCTTGTCAGTCTCAAGGTGGTAACGGACTGTATTGAGATTAGAGTGCAGGCCTCGGATGATTGTGAGGTGCACTTTGAGGGAGAGGGAGTGCAACCGCTGTACAAACGTACTCTTCTTTTTTACTTTTTCATAATTGCTGGAGTGAATAGGTTGAGAGAATTGCAGTTGGACGAGGCGTCAGACATATAACCTAGGGAAGCAAACAGAGTCCTATTCCTAGTCCTAGTCCTAGTACCTAGCATGAAAATCACGGAGACGCTTGAACCCCTTGGAAATATCCACCAGGCCCTCTCCTCCGGTCGCCAACCGGCATGGTGGAGCCATCCCAGGATTTTTAGTGAGCTGGCGGGGCAGCCTGTCTTGAGTGGCTGGCTTATTAATTGGGCCCCCGACTATCTACGGTCAGCCAGCAGTGCAATCGTGCTTCGGATCCCGCTAACCTCCACAACCAGGCACCTGACACCAATAAACGGCCGCGTTGCAACCAGTTCTTATACGCAATGCAACTTGAGGAAGGACCACGCTCTCACATAATACTAGCGTAAAATAGCAGCTTAATACTGCTGTGTTTTGTATGGTGAGTGTAGAGATCCGGAGACCCTTGTTTACTAGAAACGAGGCATTCCATCTTAGTCCTCAGAGGTAACTACACATCTGCGTTTTGATTCTTAATCGAGGATAAATGTAGATGTCTATGGGCCACAGCATTCACTTACCATCAGGTGGACTGTGTGCTCGTTTGTCACCCTAATTCTATAAAAAAAACTGTCCAGACCCATTCTCTCTATAAAATATATTACACCTAACACGATATCGGAACACGACTCGCATCATACTATCTATCAATATATGCTAACCGTCGGCCGGGATTCTCACTTGAGGACCAACCTACCTAGGGGATACGTGTAGGGAGTCATGAATCAAGAAATTCCTAGCAGCATCATCCCCAAAAATTAAAAACTTTGTTTTGTTTTGGGAATTGGCGTAGTATATTAAATCAATTGTATTTTATGTAGTAGGTATTAGGTAAATTAATTTACAAATAATTAAGTAACGCAGACTACTAAATTAAACAATTTAAAACTAAAAATAAAAGTATAATGAATGGTTCCGTTCTATTATTGGGTCTTTTCGGGTTTGAGTTTAGACAGAGACAGTGTGCAAGCGAGAGGTAAATAGCAGCTACGCCATTTATAATGCCATTCTTTAACTGCGCGAGACATTATTATCTTTTTATATTTAATTGTTCTATATTGCTACACCTACGTCGAACGCTTATGAATTGACTGGAAGAGAATGCCTCATGGCGTTAAGACTGCCCTTTGTATTCTTTTGTAATATGGATGCATTCCTGCAGAGCAGGAAATACCGTCATACTTTCATAGAGTCAAATAAATTAATCTTTACGTATAATTTTGGTAAGAGAAATGTGATTTTCTTTAAATGGAAAATCTTAAAAACTTAAGATACAACTCAATGTAACAAATTAAAATTATATACATACTAGTTATAACTACTAACTACTATTTATTTGTGATGGTAAATGTGAAAGCTTAGAAAACACATAATATTTTGGGATAAGATCAGAATATATGGATTATTTACTAATGTAAGCTAGTACTTTACTGCTATCCCATCTGATGGTAAATGGTGATGCACCCGAAGATTGTAAAATGCACTGACTGGTTCAGCTAGACCAAGGTCCTTTGACTCTACATTGCCTTAAAGAAATATATTAGAATAAATGTAAGCGTTTAAGATATATAGATCGTATCACACTATACATACTAAATAGGTGCAATAATGGGTGGTGTCGTGGGTGGATACTTGGGGGACAAGTTCGGACGGCGTCGGGTATTGCGTTTTACGCTCATCTTGGGGGCTGTGATCAACGGTATCGCCAGCCTCTCTGTCAACTGGGTCATGCTATTGACTGTGGCATCCCTCGCAGCATTTTGGTGAGTATTTATAGTAATATATATAATAATATTGCAGGTGCGTTGCCGGCCCTTTAGAAAGGAGTAAGCTCTTTTCTTGAAGGTCCCCAGGTTGTATCGGTCCGGAAAAATCGCCGGTGGTAAACTATTCCACAGAGAGGTTGTACGCGGAAGAAAACTCCTTTTGAAACTTACTGTGGTGGACCGCCAAGCATCCAGATGGTGTGGATGGTATCGGGACGTTTGCCGCGTAGTGCGTTCACGAAATTTGGCGGCTGGGATTAATACGAATAATTCCTTAGAGAACTCTCCATGGTATATGCGAAATAAAATGCAAAGAAATGCAACATCTCTTCGCAGTGCCAGTGAATCGAGCCGATCGTTGAACATAAGAACATTAATGAATCAGGCGTTTTTTGCGGTTATATAAATGCGTTGTAAAAAAAGGAGGTGGAGGAAATGTAGTAGGATATCTATAGAGCCATGCAATCCTCCAAAACCCAATATACGGTGTTGACGGGAGACTTCAACGCAAAACAAGAGAAAGCGGTGAGCTGAAGTTAGGGAAATTTGAAATAGGGCAATGTAACCCAAGAGGCCAGCAGCTGGCCGACTTCATGGAGAAAGAGGTACTCTTTATGATGAACTCTTTCTTCCAGACGCGGTTCCACGGGAAGTGGACTTGGTCGAGCCCCGACGGTTCCGACAAAAAATGAGATTGACTTCATTATGACGACCAGACGCCAACTGTTCAGTGATGTATTAGTGATCGCGAGGCTGAAGACTGGCAGTGATCACCGAATAGTTAGAGGTACACTGAACCTAAACGTTAAGTTGGAGAGGTCTCATCTAATGAAGTCAACGCTCCGTCTCCCTCGTGCGCTTATACAGGATCCTGAAAACTTTTAGCTCGAATTATAAAACCGTTTTCAGTGCCTAGAAGACTGCAATACAGTGGACGATACGAATGACAAGCTCGTGGAAACTGTCCATGCGGTCGGAGCTAAGTTCTGCAGGACCCGCCGAAAAAGAACACAAAAACTCTCCGATCACACTCTTAATCTTATGGCTCTTAAACGGGAAATGAAGCTGCAGTATTCAGCAGATTTGACAGCATACAGGCAACTGAACAGACAACTCTCCAAAAACATGCAGCGCGACTTACGCTACTTCAATACAGCTCGTACTGAAGGAGCGATTGAGTTGAACCAAAGTCTTTGCCAGAGATCTGTCTGTCAGAAAGAGCCAACTGTCGTAGCTGAAGAACGAGTATGGCAGCATCGTTTCCGGGACACCTGGGATTTTGAGGGAGATTGAGAGATTCTATGGGCAGCTGTACATGTCATTGTTGGAGCCAACGATCCAAGAGCAAGTCTAATCCAATACTGAGCTGTAAAAAAAATTCTGCAATATATACGATAATGTCTAATTTTACCGCAAGAAAAACACTATTTTCCTCTGGCAGGACAATTTATATCACTTGACGTATGTGAACTATTACCCATTCGCCACAATTTGCTTTATTTCTACATTGAGGGTTCTTAATGTACTTCTGTCCTCTGCCTGTGACTTCTTTTTTTGAAATAAGATTTATTTCCATGTCCTTATTTTTTACTTCATAATTTTCTAATTGTTGATTTACGACCTGAAGTGTTTTTGCTTCTGATTCTATCCAAAGTAACACTGTCCCCTAATGTTAAAATGTTCTTACGTAATTCTGTACATGTACATTTTTCTATTATTTGGTCAATCAAATGTTCCTCCAGTTTCTCAAATAAACTTGATTGAAACCGTAGTCTTAATAAAATTGCTCCAACTTTTCTCCGTTCTCTTGTTTTAATAATTTAAAAATGTGTCTTTCGTAAACTTTACTTTGTTTCGGCAAAAAATATTCATCGAGTTTTTTATAACCACTTCAAAAACATCTAAGCTCTCCGATGGTTCAATATTAAAAATTTATATGATACTGACGCGATGCGCTCGAAACAGTGGAGACAATATAAATGATACTTCCTTCATCCCGATCTATGAACTTTATTTTATTACATGCTTACTAGCATTTTAAATTCTTACACACTACAACTTCACATCTCTTTTTTTCTTCTTTCAGTGGAGCAAGTATATTTTCATTAGCTATGACCTTCTTCAGTGAGAGCGTTCCTAAGCATAAAAGAAACCTACTGATCTTGTTGGTCAACAGCGTATATATACTATCTCAAGGTATTCTGGCAGGTAAGCACCATTTCCAAAGCAATTAACATAACTTTAAATAATTAAATTAAGTTTTATATTAATACTAAGCACAATTTTTTCAGTAATCGCCATACCCATTATTCCGCTCCCTTTCTCCTACTACATTCCCGGTTTGGGCATCTACTGGAACTCTTGGCGGACTCTACTCCTCGTCTACTCTACACCAGGTCTTCTAGCTGCTCTCTGGCTGTGCTTCATGTTGGAAAGCCCAAAATATGTGTTTGCGCAAGGACGTGAAGAAGAAGCTATAGATATTATAAAAACTATACACAGATGGAACCATGGGAAATCAGCAACCGAAATTCAAGTAATATTTATCCCTTACTTTTTATTAATAAAATTAATCATCTTAATTAAGTACTTTTAGTATTTGAGTATTCAAACCACTATCAGCCATTATATATTGATCACAGTAACAGCTAATTAAAAAGAACTGTACTTTTTCAGATAAAAGGTTTGAGGTTAGATGAGAAACAGGTTGTCGGACAGACGTCATCGAAGGATCAAATCGTGCCACTATTTAAAAAACCCCTTCTGAAATACACCGTGATCATTACTTTAATGTTTTTGTTACAACCGTAAGTAACCATAACTAATCAATATGGAAAGATGGCCTGCATTATCGTCTATTTTCTGAATCATTTTACTTGCCGTGCGTTTGCACCAAAAAAATCCAACTTGTAATGTTTCAAAACTTGTACATAAAAAAAATCGCACAGCATGTTTTATTGGTGCCTGTGTTTTCACTCCACGAATCTGTGTAAATTATGCGATAAATTTTACGGTTTGTTGCTATTTAGGCACATCGAGATATGCGGTGTTGCTGTTAGTTTGCTCACTTAATTTATTTTGGTGTTACGTGTGATTAATCACATATGGTTATAGCCGGTACGTATTACGGTTTACGGTATAATCGATTGGGCAGTAAAATGTTCTAATAAGAACTCAAAATTTAAAATATAACTGCATTTCGCCTACCAAGCGAGGCAACTATGGGAAAATCCCAACTCTGAGGCAATCTGTGGGGAAGGCTTTTGTTCAAAAGTAAACTTTTTTAGAATATAATGGAAGGATATTAAATTACTCGTTTGTAATTAAGTCATTTTATGCAGATTTGGATCGTTCTCGATCTGGATGCCAACAATTGCCAATCATTTCGTGAAGATGGTGAAAACAGGAGGAGGCATCGACAAGAGTTTGTGTAACGTTATCAGAGAAAGCATAGAAGCGCCAGTTGATGTGAGTCTTAATATGCTTTTAGTCATATTGAACTAAACCTTTTGTAATACCTAGTTTAGGTCTAGTGGTCTTAAACGCGACATCTTGAGGTCCCGGGTTCGAATGACGGGTCGGGTCATAAAAAGAATTCGTTGGTTCTTCTGTCAAGAAATTCTCAGTAGCAACTGGAGTCAGAAACTGGTCAGTGTTACACCCCCGTCCCCCGGAAAGCACGTAAATTCGTTGGTTCTGCACCTAATCTCTCTCCGGTCATGTATTACCGTACCATCGGCCTGTGAGAGTGAAGGAATAGAGTATACACCCGTGCTTGCACATACACTCGGAAATCACATGAGTAAGAAACTTCTTACTCTATGCTATAGGCCTGGCCTGCGCAGATGATGAGTTGCTGTTAAGACTGGCCGCCGTACAACGTGGACATATAATATATTTGAAAAATACTAAGTACGTTCGTATTTAAGAGGCAGTAATGAATATCATTTTAGTAAACTTTTTTTGTACACGTTAGCTGTTCCCCGCGACATCGCTCACTTATAAATTACGATATAAAATTTTTTGGGCAGATCCTTAATAATGTTCTAAAAATAAAAGAATCCTTAGTTACTTCTTATAATATCAGCTATCTGCCTGTGAAAGTCCTGTCAGTATCGGTCAAGCAACGTTAGAGATTAGTCGGAGCAAACAGACAGACAGACAAACTGTAAAAATTGTGTTTTTAAGATTTACCGAAAATTTACACGGTACTTATAACACGCATTTAGTCAAAGGTATTATTTTGATATTACAAATAGACACTTCAATTTTGTTTATTTTTATACATGTTACGCGTTATCTACGTCAATTGTGAACCGATTTTTTTGATTCTTTCTTTATTAAATAGCCTGTACTTCAAAAGTGGCCTCCCATCCTTAAAGATGGCAAAAATAGAGGATGAAATTTTTAATGTAACTATTTAGACGACATTGAGGTTGTGACATTCCACTCAAAATGGTTAAATTTAAGGTATTTCTGTATATGAAACAATACTCTGATTTTCCTGTTAACAATTCAAAATAAGCTTTAACTTAATTGGTATGTGAAGTTCACGACAGTAGTGGAATGACGGGTTTAAACTCATTAATTTTATCTTCGTGTAATTGTATCCCCAGATATACAAGTCAAAGACTGGTATCCGCAACTTTCTTATCGTTTGCATTGGAGTGAAAATAGTACAATTTTATACTTTCGTTGCGTCTTTCAAACTGAATAGACTGAATAGAGTAATGGCGTCTTCTGGGGAAGACTGCTAGCTATCTATAACATCTAAAGTATTGAGTCACTAATTTTTTTCTTATGTCACAAATTGTAACCAATTCCTCAATAAATCTTGACGTAATAAAATTATTAAAAAATTTAGGATATCGTTGGAGAAGATTCCAGCTTAAAGGACGCAATGTTCACTTTATCTTTTAAATTACTTTTTGCAGCCAGACGTCGTACCTTGCGCGCTACAAGTCACATCACTACTGTTTGTATTGTCAGTGGGTGCTATGCAATCTTTGCTTAATGCCTTGTTAAGTTTGGTAAGTATAATACCAATAAGTTCAGATAATTAAAAGAATCAGGCGTTACTTCGCGTAAATCCATTATATTAGAGATTGATCAAAACTACTTTTATGCATTTTATCGCGTTTAATTTATTTGATTTTTAATTCCCGACATTTCGGGTGCTTTCCAACACCCATGGTTACTGGGGACTGAGATGACTGACGTCTCGATGTCAATGTTAACCCGGAGTACTTTTAGATTTTTAATTATTATTTATGGTCTGATCTACACAGAATGAACTTACTGATTTGAAGTCTCGCAGTGGTATGCTTGTGTCCACTTTTAGTAACTAGTTAGTTTAAATTTGATTAATTACATGACCCCAAGTAGGTGTCAAATAAATTAAATGCGATAAAATCTGTAAAAGTAATATTAATCAATGTGTAGTGCTCGCGTAAATATAAGAAATTAATATATATTAGAGATGTTAACAAATTAATTTGCCACGATCCATGTAATTAAATAAAATTATGTCACTTATAGTTTGAAGAGTACCTCCCGGTCTCCCTCTATTGCGCACACAATCCCCGTTACCACTAATCCCACACCACTACTTGGAAATAAACAACTACACTAGGAAAGATACACCACCGTCGATAGTACGACACGTTTCTACATACATTCTACATGAGGCATCCTCAGGTGAAGTAGACTCTGCAGTAGCTGAACGCTAAGACACTTTTCCAACTAGGTAAGAGCCATCATTTTAATTTATTAAGCGGATCTCGACTAGTCTGTTTTTAACATCTTTAATAAGTAAAATTGAATATACTCGTATCTCCCATGGAGCTTTATTCAACATACGTTACATCAACCCTACATATGTTAAATTACCCCATATTTTTTATTATGTGCAAGCAGCTATGCAGGTTTTGGGAAAGAGACCAGTATCACTGCGACCTAAAAGATCTATTGTAATAGCAGCTATGGCTATAGTTCACTGCTAAGCCCTATGTCTTCAACGAATAGAAGGAGTTGCTTAGCCGTGAGCAATTTCACTTCTTCTGGGAGAAGTACGTAGTTTCCCAGATGAGTGTTACGTTTGCGCATTAAGGATCCGCAATCAGTTAGGATGTGCATGCATTTCTTCCGTTACGGAACAGAACCGACACTTTATTGAGTTGCTTAGTCCCAGGATGGACATGTGCTTTTTAAGACATTAGCGTCAAGTTAGGGCTCTTGCCAGAATGCGCAATTTATTTTTATCTACTCCCAGGGCTTTTGAGGTGAATTTACGATCAAAAGCCTGGATTAAGGTTTTAGAATATTTTAAGCCTGGTGTGTCAGACCAGATCTTAAGTGATTTATTGTGATAAAAAGTTACAAGGGTCAATCAGGCTAGGCTTCTTGAGATTCCACAAAATGGCTCAGGTCCAAATTGTGTGCACTTTAAGCCCTCCTGTGCAATTTGGTCGGGAAATTCGTTGCCTACAATACCCGCGTGACCCGGAACCCATAGTAAGATGACCCTGTTGTTACATTCCAGGGCGTTTAAACGGTTCACGCAGTCTCCAACTAGCTTCGAGTTCACTAAGTTTGACCTCAGCGCTAGCAGTACTGCTTGACCATCAGACTTTATATAAATTATGTGGTTGAGGTAGTGATTTTGCAGATTGATTTCCGCACACTGAAGTATGGCGAAAATTTCTGCCTGGAAGATAGAGGTGAATCTACCCAAATTCATACTAAGTTTGAATTTCGGGCGTTCCCCGTAAATTCCAAAGCCTACGTCGATGCCCATTACATTAGACCCATCGGTATACCATATGAGGCTACCGACCCCACAGATAACATGACCTTTCAGCCAGTTCTTTCTGGAGGGTAATTCCACGATATACTTTTTATCAAAAGTGTGTAGTGGATGTATGATACCTGAGATCATGCATAAGACAGGTGTTTTCATAATTGATTCGAGCATGGATCTCAATCTGTAGGAGAGCAAGCTCAGACCGCCCTGGGTGTTAATTCTATACAAACTAGCCCTCGCCTCCTTGTCTAGATAAAGATCAAGGGACGTTAGGTATAGAAGTGCATTAAGAGGCGCTTCAGGCGATGATCGCAGAGCTCCAATTGCCATTTAGTCCTTTATAGACTAACCTAATTAAGCCAATCCTTAATGATTTCTTATATTTACGCGAACACTATACATTGATTAAAACTACTTTTACGGATTCCGTAAAAGTAGTTTTAATCAAAGCCAATCCTTTGTAGACTACGAGGGTGGATTGAAAAGTACTCGGCCTAACCAAGAAAATAAACACATACTAAATCAGTTATATTTTTATTTTTCTACATAATCACCATCAAGTTCAATACACTTTTGCCACCTCCCCTTCCAAGCATTTAGACCGTTGAAAAAAAATGATTCTTCCTTAGAGTCAAAATATGCGTCTACAGCTGCTTTGACCTCGTCGTTTGTCGAAAATCTTTGACCTCCCAAGTGCTTTTTTAGGTTAGAGAACAGAAAGAAGTCTGATGGTGCCAGATCAGGTGAATACGGCGGATGCGGTAACAGTTCAAAGCCACAGTTGTGAATTTCAGCCATTGACTGTACTGACGTGTGAACACGGGCGTTATCTTGATGAAACAGGACTTTTCTTCTGAGCATTCCTCGACGTTTTTCTTTTATTTCCTCTCGTAAACGACGTAGTAAGGTGCAGTAGTAATCAGAGTTTATAGTCTGACCCCTTTCAAGATAATCAATCATAATCACACCTTTCGAGTCCCAGAATACTGAAGCCATCACCTTATTTGCCGACAAAATCGACTTAGCCTTTTTAGGGGGTGGTGAACCAGGTCTTCTCCACTGTTTTGATTGTTGTTTTGTTTCCGGTGTACAGTAATGAACCCATGTTTTGTCCATAGTAACAAAACGATTCAAAAAATCATCTGCATCGGCTTCAAATAACTCCAAACAGTCGCGTGAAATAGTCAATCGCGTCCTTTTTTGTTCAACTGAAAGCAATCGCGGAACCCACCTCGCAGACACCTTGTGGAAACCCAACTCGTTGACAATGATATTTTGAGTTCGTTCATAAGAGATGCCTATAATCTCGGCTATCTCTCTAATTTTTAATCTGCGGTCTCCCATTATTAAATCAAGTACTTTTTTAAATATTTTCGTCAGTAGTTGACGACGAAGGCCTTCCAGAGCGGAGTTCATCTTTCACACTCTCTCTACCACGCTTAAATTCTGCTATCCATTTTTTGACGGATGAATATGACAGAGCACAATCGCCTAATGTACTGACCATGTCATCATGGATGGCTTTTGATGATAGCCCCTTCTTATGGAGGTACTTAATGACGGCACGCTGCTCGATTTGCTCCATTCACGGAAATTATGTCCGATTACTTTGTTAATAAATTTATAAAATCACAACTAATTATCGCACACGTTTCGAACTTCACACAATGAACTAGTCTGAACTGAACTAAATAATGTGGGTAGATTTGATTTTTAGAATTGAATGGATCTGTGTTAGGCCGAGTACTTTTCAATCCACCTAGGTATTTAGTCTGTCCAAAGTCGTCTTTTGGTTGGCCTTGTTACACCAGACAACTGAGGCGTAGGTGAGAATCGGCCTCACTATGCCGGTGTACAGCCATAGAACCATACTGGGACGCAAGTCCCAGTTGTTCCCGACCAAACAACTGCACGTACCTAAAGCAATTTTTGCCTTATGGAACTATAAGAGTTCCACATTAGTTTTTGGTCGATTGTTACGCCCAAGTACTTACCTTCAGTGGAAAATGGTACTTCTTTACCATTAAGTTTTGGTGGGACTAATTTGTCCAACCGTCTCTTTTTGGTAAAGGGTATTATAACAGTTTTATCAGCATTAACTGATAAACTGTTATCCCTACACCAGTTATTTTTGTTGTTTAGCGCTCTTTGTATTATTGACGATAAAGCACTCTGGCAAAAGCCCCTGGCAATGATCACAAGTTCATCAGTATGACCTAGTGTGTCAATGCGTAAGTCTGCCATTTTGTACAATAGTTGGTTAACCGCAAGAGTTCAAGGAAGTGGTGAAAAAACACCTCCTTGAGGGCAGCCTCTTGTAGTTGCAACCTCAATCGAAGTTTGAAACAACGCTATTTTTGCCTTTCTGTTTGAGAGCATCAACTTCACTCATCTGATGGTTGTGGGGTCAACATTTTTAGATATTAGGCCCCCAATCACTATTTGGAGCTACTTTCAAAGGCGCTCTCAATATCTAGAAAGGCACAAAGAGCTATTTCTTTATCCTCCAGTGCTTTTTCGAACCTATTAATGACACTGATCAGGGCTGTTTTCGTATATTTGCTTCTGCGGTAAGCATGTAGGTTGTAATATATGGGCCTCGTAGCTAGAGCTACATTCCTTATATATCTATCCTTAACCTTTTCCAATGTATTAAGGAGAAAGGAAGATAGGCTTATAGTTCTAAAGGATTTTGGTAAAACGTAGTCCTTTCTACCAGCCTTAGGTATAAATAGAACTTTGACAATCGGCCATCGTTCTGGATTATATCCCCATGCAAAACTTACTCTGAAGATTTTCACAAGATAGTGAAGAAGGATGTCGATACCTCTTTGTAGTTGGATGGGAATTATTCCGTCCTCCCCGCTTGTTCTAAATGGTTTAAAGGAGTCAACAGCCCACTGCACCAAGTTTGGCCTTATTATCTTTGCAACCCTACAACAGTCCTCATTACAAAGCCTTCATAGGGCTCTGAAAGAATTCAAGGTTGAAGTCTTCTGTGAACCTGGGAAATGGGTAGACGCTAGTAACTCCAATGTTTCTGTTTCACTATTAGTTAAGTTACCATCAGGCTTTTTAAGAAGCCCGATCTGATTAGATTTAGCTTTCGATAGCATTTTGCGTAGTCTTGTACAGCGAGACAAAGACTCAACTTCCTCGCATACCTTCCTCCACAATGCTCTCTTGGCTATCCTTATTTCTTTATTATATTCAGTTAGGGCTGCACTACAAACATCCCACTCTATGGTTTTCTTAGCCCTATTAAATGGTTTCCTGGTCTTTTCCCTAAGTTCTTTTAGCTTAGTATTCCACCACGGAACTTGACGTGTTGAGGTCTTGGTTTTGACGGGACAACTGTCCTCGTAGGCTTCAAGGATACCTACGGTTACTGTCTCCGTCGCCAACTCAAGACCCTCAATCGCTTTGATGCTTTTAGGCAAAGTTACCAAATTCCTCCTTAGGCTATCTCTGTAGATATCCCAGGATGTCGCTTTTGGATCCCTAAAAGCAACAGTTTCATTGGTTGGTGATCTAATCACAAACTTAATGTGTTTGTAATCAGACATCGAGCTTACACTACTAACATGCCAGTCATTTATCCGCGTGAACATGTTATTGGTAGCAAAGGTTATGTCTAACACTTCTTGCCTAGCACGCGTAACAAAAGTTGGTGTACACCCCAAGTTTAGGCTTACCAGTCGGTTGGAGATGAGAAAATCATAAAGTAACTCACCTATTTCGTTGATGTTAATGCTTTCCCAGGCTGTGTGATGAGCATTAGCATCACAACCCAACACAAGTTCGGCGTTGTGTTTTCGGGCGAACTCAGCCACTCGCTCTAACTCGATAGTAGGATCTGAGTTCTCTCCGGGAAGATAGGCTGAGCAGATGATTACTCTGGCCCCTGTGCATCCCTTGAAATTTACGAAGGCTGTTACCAAGTCATCATTGATGTACTCTGGAACAGCTAAAAGTTCAATATTTTTATTGTAAATTATACAAGCTCTGGGTCTACTGCCTTTAGTATTGACAAGAATTTTACCGGCAGCCGACAATCCCAGAACTTTACCGTTGGCCACCCAAGGCTCTTGTATGAGGGCGAGGTCAATGGTGTCCTCTGCAAATCAAACCTCCACCACAGCAGAAGCAGCTGCTGCATGATGAAGATTTTCCTGAAGGACCCTCGTCTTACCCTTGGGGTTAGACATTTACGGGCGTGGGAGGGCAGGGGTCTTTTCCGCCTATTGAGGACTTACCTTACCTTTTTTCACCTTAACTTTTACCTTTCGCTGTACCGCTTCCACTTCCCCTCAATACACTCCTGGACGACACCTGCGGAGGCTGTCAGACCGAGGAGAGATCAGCGCCTTTGGTCTTCGTCACTCTCACTGATGGCGTTCCAGACTCACCCCGAGAGGTAGAGGGCTGGGGGATTGGAGTTGGGGTGATTCAGGCTCCATAGCCGCGTCAGAGCCTCCACTGACTTAAAAAGTTATAATTTTAAAGCCAAGGACGACTCTGCCGGCTGCCTACCGAAGAGCCTCCGCTGATGGGTCGTCCAGGGAAAAGGTTACTAGGAACCCATTCTCCTCGTCCCTACGGTGGAGGATTCACCAGAGCTCAGTGTGGAGCCCTTCGTTTTGTGCCCTCAATTGCACAGCCGCCTCCTCTGTAGATTCAGCTTCGCTTGGGGCAAAAATGTAATACCCAGCTGAGGCTTAGACAGTTCGCTCTCAGAACTGGGGGAGGTTTGGGCAGAAGAATTTCGTTCCAGAGCTTCTGGCAGAGAGAGAGGGCCTCTTCGGCTCCTATCTCAGTCGCTATCAGTCTTTGGTACCTCTTCCTTGCTGCCCCACTAAGCTTATAGGGCCTAGCGAACTTTTTCTTTTCCTTGGTTCGTTTCTGATTGTGGTTCGACTGCAGACGTGCCCTCCACTTCACGACTCGTCCCAGGTTGGGGCGTAGTGTTGCAGGATATTGGTGAGGCTAAAAGAACCTCTTCCAAATCTACAGATAGTTCTATTAGACCTTCCCTCCAGCCACACATCCATCAGCATGGTACGCTTGACACCTTGGATTGGGTTAGGATGGGGAAAAGGTGGTGGGATTAAAGATAAGAAGAAGATGATCGTCTGAGTGTTTCTGTTCTGTCTGTTTCCTATTGAACCAGACCAAATAACATGCGGCAAACACGTGAAGATAGAACTCCTGAGACTTGCCCTGGAGATCAATACGACCTGCGCTCTCCCCCAGAGCCATTCGCCAGATTGCTCGCCAGACAGGAGAGCAGAAAAGGTGTTAATCTAATACTACTGATAATATCAAAAATTTAGGAGTAGACTAAGCCCCGCCCTTGTAATTTCCCCGTACAGTCTCGTTGGTGTCGTAAAAGTCGACAGAGCGAAACAAATCAGTAGATGGGCGGCAGCGTCTTCCTAATAACGAATTTTTTTAAATAATATACCTCCTATGAGACAATCTATGGGAAAGGACTACATACTAGACTTTAGTAGGCTGTAAGAGCAACGATATACAGGCAAGGCTTAGAAAAGTATTAACATATAAATTCTCACATACATACCTTTATGAATAAAATAGATACAGGTTTAAAAAAAAACTTTTTTCATGAAAATCCAGGTGGTGAACGGAGTTGGCAACCGCAATTTGGTAATATGCGTTACAGTTGTGTGTGGAATATCGGGCATCATAGTGAACCTTATACCCAACGCCTACGCCAGCGTCGTTTTCTTCATGATCTTCTTGAGTGGTGCCTTGGTTTCGGGAATGTACGTGGCCATTGCTGTTAAATTGTTCCCTACTCCTCTCAGGTGATTTTCTATTTATTTATTTATTTCAATTTGTATGGTTCCTTAAATACTATACATAAAATACAAATACAAAGACAACTATAATTACAACGAATGGTACAACAAATAAAATGTTCATGAAAATGCCATCTACTTTTGTAAATATGCAATTTGTGAAAATATAGATTTTTAATAAGCAAAAAGGAAGCCGTTTAAAATATAACGAACTATGTAAAAAGTTAAATATAGACATTTTTCATTTTGAATTTGTGAACTTGGAAGAATGAAACGTTTATCGTTGACTAAATAACTAACGCCGCATAGATCAATTCACAATAATTTTTTTTATTAACTGGCTTTACGGCTCTGGATTCTAGCCCTTCTAAGCCTATTATTTCTTTCGGAATCTTCATTTTTATATTCTTTTTCTTCACAATATACTGATGCGTCACATTGCGAACCCCTTGTGAGATTTTGACCACAGCTCAACCCAGCGGACAGTTAATGACGACAGCCACTCACGTTCATAAGGCGCCCAAGCGATCAAAATAACTTGAAGTTTAATCGACATCAAAGCACTCATTTCGTCGTTTTCTCTAATAGTTCACACGCGCGGACACTTAATTTACAAAATCGCATCACTTTTACGACTCAAAATCCGCTTCAAACCATTATTTAAGCGACAAAACAGGAGCGACAATCCGTCTATGGATAAGTACCCACCAAAACTCCCATTCATACACAATTAAGGATTTTACTTAGAGTGATAAAATACATCATCATCATCATCATCATCATTACAGCCCTTTACAAGTCCAATGCTGAACATAGGCCTCCGCCAAGGTATGCCACAAAGCATGGTCCTGAGCCACCTGCATCCATCGACTTCCTGCATGTCTTAACAGGTCGTCACTCCATCTAGTGGGGGGTCGCCCTACACTTCGTCTACCGGTACGAGGCTGCCACTCGAGAACCTTTTTTCCCCAACGGTTGTCGGTTCTTCGAGCTATATGGCCGGCCTATTGTAACTTCAGCTTACTAATCCGTTGGGCTATGTTGATCACTCTGGTTCTACTGCGGATATCCTCATTTCTAAGTTTATCACGCAGAGAAACTCCGAGCATAGCCCTCTCCATAGCTCGCTGAGCGACTTTGAGCGTCCTCATACGGCCAGCAGTGACAGACCACGTCTCAGTTCCATATGTCATCACTGGCAACACGCACTGGTTGTACAACTTAGTTTTCAGGTTTTGAGGTATACCTGACGAAAAGATGCGTTGTAATTTCCCGAACGCTGCCCAGCCGAGTTGAATCCGTCGATTGACCTCTCGGTCGAAGTTGGACTTACCTAGCCGGATTATTTGTCCCAGGTAAACGTACTCGTCAACAACTTCGAGCTTAGTGCTCCCAACAACTACCGGCATAGGTGTGACATGGACATTAAACATGATCTTTGTTTTGTCCATGTTCATCTTAAGACCTATCCGTTGGGAGGCACTATTGAGGTCATTGAGCATTGTGCTTAAGTCCTCACGCGATTCTGCCATAAGGACTATATCGTCGGCAAATCGAAAGTGAGTAATGTACTCGCCATTGATGTTAATACCGTATCCTTTAATACCGTATCCTTTCCAGTCCAGTAGCTTGAAAACGTCTTCCAATGCAGCGGTGAAGAGTTTCGGGTAAATAACGTCACCCTGTCTTACACCTCTCTGCAGTTGGATAGGTTTCGAACTCTGGTTCTGTACTCGAATAGCCATCGTAGCCCTACTGTACAAACACTTCAGCACTTCGATATACCGACAGTCAACTTGGCACCGCTGAAGAGACTGTAGCACCGCCCAAATTTCGACGGAATCAAAGGCTTTCTCATAGTCCACATAAGCCAGTCAAAGTGGCAGATTGTACTCTTCGGACTTCTGTACAATTTGCCGAAGGGTATGTATGTGGTCTATGGTACTGAAGCCTTTTCGGAAACCGGCTTGTTCGGGAGGCTGGAAGTCGTCAAGTCTGCGTGCGAGACGATTTGTAATGACTCTCGAAAACAGCACGTAGACGCGGCTCAGAAGGAATATCGGTCTGCAGTTCCTCAAGAGGGCGTTGTCACCTTTCTTGAAGAACAAGAACACCGCACTTCTGCTCCACGCCTCCGGAGTAGTACCACCATGGAGGACGGAATTAAAGAGCCTCTGAAGGACTTCAAGTACCGGTTTTCCACCCGCTTTCAGAAGCTCCGCTGTAATTCCATCCTCGCCCGGGGACTTGCCGTTTTTAAGGTGCTGGAGAGCCATTCTAATCTCGCTCAAACTGACGTCCGGGATATAATCGAAATAGTGTCGGATAAGACCCGCTCTTGGATCGTTACTCACACTTGCGTGTGGCTCCAACGATGATGTGTACAGCTGCCCGTAGAACGTCTCAATCTCACTCAGAATCTCAGGTGTCCTGGAAACGATACTGCCACATTCAGTCTTCAGCTTTGACAGTTGGCTCTTACTGGCAGACAGATCTCTGGCAAAGACTTTGGAGCCCTGGTTCCGCTCAATCGCTTCTTCAATACGAGCAGTATTAAATTTGCGTAAGTCTCGCCACATGCATTTGGAGATCTGTCTGTTCAGTTGCCTGTATGCTGTCAAATCTGTTGACGATTGCAGCCTCATCTCCCGTCTAACAGCCATGAGATTAAGAGTGTGATCGGAGAGTTTTTGTGTTCTTCTGCGGCCGGTCTTGCAGAACTTAGCTCCGACCGCATGGACAGTTTCCACGAGCTTGTCATTCATATCGTCCACTGCATTGCAATCTTCTAGGCACTGAAATCGGTTACGTAACTCGAGCTGAAAGGTTTCGGGATTCTGGATCAGAGCACGAGGGGGACGGAGCGTCGACTTCATTAGACGAGACCTCTCCAACTTAACGTTTAGGTTCAGTGTGCCTCTAACCATTCGGTGATCGCTGCCAGTTTTCACCCTTGCGATCACTGAAACATCACTGAACAGTTGGCGTCTGGTCGTCATAATGAAGTCAATCTCATTTTTTGTCGAACCGTCGGGGCTCGACCAGGTCCATTTCCTCTGGGGCCGCTTCTGGAAGAAAGAGTTCATCACAAAGAGTCCCTCTTTCTCCATAAAGTCGGCCAGCTGCTGGCCCCTACGGTTCCGTTACCCTACTTCAAATTTCCCTAACTTCAGCTCACCGCTTTCTCTTGTGCCTAGTTTTGCGATGAAGTCTCCCATCAACACCGTGTAGTGGGTTTTGGAGGAATGCATGGCTCTGGAAATATCCTCATACATTTCCTCCACCTCCTCATCGAGATGTGCCGAGGTTGGTGCGTAAACCTGTATGACCTTCAGCGAATACCGTTTAGTGATTCTGAGTATCAGGTACGCGACCCTCGTCGACACACTCCCAATCTTTACAACGTTGTTGACGAGAGACTTGTGGACGATAAATCCGACACCTCCTTGGGACAGATGGTCGCCCACCCGGTGATAAAACAAGTTGCCGGACTCGAGGATTACCGTGTCCTCCCCCTCTCTTCGGACCTCGGATAACCCAATAATATGCCAGCGCAACTTGTCTACCTCTTCTTCCAACTCCAATATCTTCTCGTCAGTCCTCAGGGTGCGTGCGTTATATGTTGCCAGGTCGAGTCGTCGTAGGTGGCAACCGAACCTCCACCGGAGATTCTTAGCACCCCCCTGCCCCGCCGTTACCATGGTCGCCACCGTAGCCAGGAATAGCGGGGCCGCCGGGGACTGGGCGCCGTTTGTTTGCATCGTTACTCATGGGGGGATATTTGCCATAGTTGCCACGCTTGGCGAGCGGGTTGGCAACCGTAGTTTTTTATTAAGTATATCATTGCAGTTATCAGGAAGATGCTGCTACCCATCTCCTGCCTGTCTCCCTCTTTCGCCTCTTACGACAACCACGGGAAGATATGGGGTAGTGGATATTCTCAACCGCCACTACACGGCACATACGTATTTATTTATGGTCAACCAAATCTAAGAAATACCTTTTGACGTTTCACGTTAATCATTCCGCAATAACTTTGCACAAGCGTACTCTCACGATTTAAAATAACCTTTTACGTAAATCGGAAGAATTATGAAATTATCTATATTTCATTACAACGTTTATATTTTCTTACCACTAATTTAAATTGGAATGTTTCAAACAAAGCAAAATATAAAAAATAACCGGTATCATTTTTTTACTAGACGTCGTTTCAATGATATGTCGCTATGTACTTTACCGTAGTGTTTGGATGATTGGAATTCATTGTTATGCGAATAATCGGCAAAAATATTCAAATAATCGGTAAAAATATTCAAATAATCGAATCATAATTTTTTTATGTATTATTAGTTTAATTAAATTTTTATTTTAAAAATTCCTTAAACTACATGAATCATGAATAAAACAAGTTTATTTTTTTTTTTTTGTCAGTATAATAACGTACTTAATTTCAATCTCCCACCATTTCGGGAGCTTACTATGCGTATGTTTGTGATTTTGTGTTTGTCTTCTTATTTTGTGAAAAAAAAAAACAAAAAAAAATGATTATGGATAATGATTTCTTATATTTACGCGAACACTACACATTGTTAAAATTTCCAGCACCCATGGTCCCCCGTGCCCACTTTCGCAGTCTGCTGGAAAGCGCCCGAAACGTCGGGAATTAAGAATTAAAAATAATAGTAAAATAAACGCGATAAAATCCGTAAAAGTAGTTTTAATCAATGATTATGGATAACTTTAAAATGGACATTCACTTTGACTCCATTACTGAAAATCAAAATAATCTAAACAACGACAGCTCAACTAGATGTGCTGAAAGTGATTAAATAAATTTATTTTTAATCTAGTTTCAATCTTAAATTTTTATAACTTTGCCTCTAGAAACGAGCAGTAACAACAAATACGAAGAAACTGATAAATCTTGTTTTAAATTATCCGTTTTAAATTTTATCTGGTATTATTCATACCAAACTGTAAATGATTACAAACTCTAAACAATCGATA